GCTCCAGCCAGTCTAGCCTGATAGGTGGCCTCTAGGTTCAGTGAGAGACTTTGTCTCAAAAACTAACATGGAGACCAGTAAGGGCACCTGATGGTACCCTCTCCCAATGTGCAGTTTAGGTTTTGAGTAGGCGTTCGAGGTTTGTCTTTATGCACGTATGCCATTCCTTTTTTTGGCAGGATAAAAATCCAGTGTGTGGATACAGGAGGGTGGTTACATAGTTACTGCTTTTCAAAATCTGTTTGTGAAGCCTTTTGAATGTTACATTTTTAGGCACACATTGTAGTACACACCTATACCTTTGCACCCAGAAGACTGAGACAGGAGGACTGTGAGTTTAAAGTCAGTCTGAGATACATGATGAAACCGTCTCAACAGAAGCAAAGAAGACAGTGTTTTCAGATACAAGACACTGGTCCATAACTTTTAGAAATGTCAGCCATGAGCTGGAGAGGTAGCTTAACAGTTAAGAGCAGTGGCTGTTCTTCTGGAAGACCTAGATTTTCAGCACCTACCTAGCAGCTCGACTCTCTGTAGCTCCAGTTCCAGGGGATCCTGTGCCCTCTTCTTTCTTCCTCGGGTACCAGGAACACACAGACAGATACGCAGGCAGAACAAGTCTGCACATTACAGACAGGTAGCTATTGAAGCTATCCCTTCCCCCTTTTATTTTATATACAAGCTTGGGAAATGTGTTGCACTGCGAACCCCAAGATTGTGCTATTTACTGGAAAAACCTGTTTCTAGCTGGGATGTGACTCAGCCTTAGCACACACCTTTAATCCAAGAGCTTTCTGTTTATTGTAAACTGGACTAACTAAATAAAGTCAACCATAGGTCAAGAGGCCAGCAAGCAACTAGTTGATGGGGAATGAATATAGGAAAAAAACAGTAAGGAAGTCAGGAGGACAGAGAGACAGGAAGTAGACGAGAGGGACATTGAGTTTAAGGAGTCCGTGGAGAAAGAGAGCTGCTTTTTCCTGAAGTGTAAGGTCACCTGGGTGCTTTCTCTGCCTCTCTGAGCTAGCAGGCTTTCACCCTAGCATCTGGCTCCTGAGCCTTCATTGGGATTTTGTTAAAAACAACAAAGATGGGGTTAGAGAGATAGCTCAGCAGTCAGAAGAGCACTGACTACTCTTTCAGAGGTCGTGGGTTCAGTTCCCAGCAACCACATGATGGCCACAACCATCTGTACTGGGATCTGGTGCCCTCTTGTGGCCTGCAGGGCCACATGCAGATACGTGTACATGAGAACACTCATATACTTAAAACAATAAGTGTCGAAGAAAAATAACAAATATATGAGAAAGATAGCATGCATTTTATTTTGGACACAGTTTTCCCTAACAACCATTAACTTGTTTGTGGTTTGTTTTGTTTGTGAGTTAAGATCTCACAAGGTAGATCTTATAACTCACTATACAGGCTAGGCTGGTCTCCTGAGTGCTGGGAGTGTGGGCATGTGCATCCATGCCTTGCTATAAAGCCATCTGGGTATGATATCGTAAGCCTTGATGTGGAATGATGGGGTGTTTGTTTACATTAAAGCATCCTAGCGTAGCATCCTAAAACATCTTACATTTATCCTAGTCAGTGTACACATCCATCACTTGCTTTTTAAGCAGCCATGTTGCTCAGCATTTAGACACTTGCTACTGTTAAACTCAGAGTTAAATTTCCTTGTTTGAAGGTGTGTGTGGGGTGGGGGTGGGGGGTTGACTATAGCTACAGCTCCGTTGGTAGAGTGCTTACCTTGCAAGCATGGGCCCTGGGCTCAGCCTCCAGCACCTCAGGTTGGAGGCAGAAGGATCAGATATTTCAAGGTTATTCTCAACTGTATAATGAGTTGGAAGCTAGCCTGTCGTAATTAGACCAACCCCCCCCCCCCCAAAAGAAAACAGTAAGTCATTTATGGTAAGGCCTACTAATGGTGTAGGAAGAGAGCTTATATTAGCTATGAAGTTTTGGTTGAGCCGGGCTTGCTGGATGGCCATGGGAGGCCGAGAGCTCCAGATCCTGCTGCTTCAGCCCTCTGAGCTGGAGGCATGTACTACCATGCTTGACAGTCCTCTAGAATTTTTCATTTTTTAGATTTATTTTTAATGTATACGAGTGTTGTGCCTGTATGTGTGTCTATGTGTAACGTGTGTGCCTACTCCCTATAGAGCTCATTGGATCCCCTGGAACTGGAGCTGCAGACAGTTGTGAACCGTGTATGATAGACACTGAGTCCTCTGCAAGAGCAAGTGCTGTTAACCACTGTGCCTTCTCTTTAGCCCCACTGTAGACTTAAGACTTTATGTCAGACTATTTGCTTTAGAGATTTTCTGTTGTTTGCTTTCTATGAATTTTCTTAGAGTGTTAGAGATAAGCGCTGTAGCAGTTCATTCTCGTGTAGAAGGGAAAGACTGTAGTCATGGCCTTGGAGTATGCTACAGCAGTGGACTCCTTGTTGGCTGCAGAGGGAGTGTGGCAGTTAAGTACACACTTACCCAAGAGTGCTTCTCACAGAGATGAAAAGAACGGCTGGCTGGAATTCACAGCAGTGGGTCTGGCTACCCAGTCACATCTCTACCAACTGTGAGTTGTTTTGGTTTGGTTTTAGTTTTGTCTTTTGAGACAGGGTTTCTCTGTGTGTCTACTCTATAGACCAAGCTGGCCTCAGATTCAGAGATCTGCCTGCCTCTGCCTCTGCCTCCGCCTCCGCCCCCGCCTCCGCCCCCGCCTCCGCCTCCGCCCCCGCCCCCGCCCCCGCCTCCGCCCCTGCCTCCTCAGTGCTGGGGTTAAAGGGTGTGCCACTATGCCAAGCTGTCAACTGTCATCTTGAGCCACAGTCCACATTACAGCGTTAAATCTGGTCTTATCTGTGTCCTGGAAATAATCAAATTTCTGTTACTGCATCATAGTAAAAACTGGATAATTACATTCTTAGAACTGCTTCTGACTCCTTTTGAGCGTATAAGTCTATACATAATTCTCAGGTGTTTTTACTATGTTGAGTAACTGTCAGTCTAGAACTGCCTCCCTGGCTTGTTAATTAAGATAAACCTTCCGCTAACATTGCGAATGCACGTGTGTACACACATACAAGTAATTCCAGTAATGTGGTAATGAGGACATAGTTTGTCACACAACAAAGAATCAACCCTCAGAGAAATTCAGTTAAATTCAGCCATTTTTACTTTATACACAGGAAAGATAATGACTTCATGCTCTAGAGACGCAGGTTCTAGACACCTACTCTAAATAATGGTATGAAAGACCTTAGGTTGCATGGTTACGTTAGCACCATGAAGAGAATCTTTGCTTCCTTTCATTCTAACTAATCCTAGGCCAGCCAGTAGAAAACATCTATGCTCCACTACCCATGGCTCTTGGGAAGCCACCGCGCTGATCTAGGCAACTTGTGAATGAAAAGTTGGAGACATATGCTTGTGAATTTTGCAGAAATAAGAGGTTAGAGCTCTTGTCAAAGTTGGCTTAAAAACAATTGAGAACACTGCTGTTGGAATAGCTGTCCCTGCTTAGAGCTGCTTCCAAACAAAAGTAAGAGGGAGAGCACTTGTCTAGAATATTCAATAGCTGGGTATACCCAACTGGTTAGGTCAGGCTGCGGGTACAGTAACTTGGTCATTTTACAGTTCTGTTTTCATTGCTAAACTTGTGTGTATGTATTCCCGAAAGGAAGGTGCATGCAACAGCATGAGCATGGAGGGCGGGGGACAGCTTTCAGGTGTGCATTCTCTCCTTCCACTGCGAGTCCTGGGCATCACAGCAGCTCATCAGGATTGGAGGCAAGTGCCTCAGTCCTGAGCCATCCCTCCAGCTCCAGCGTTTTAGCCTACTGCAGTTTCATGTTTCTAGTCAATATCGTAAATCAGTACCTTGTTACTGCAGTCGGACATTGAGTAGCTAGAAGATAAGTTTGGAGTTAAGAGAAATACCTTTAGAAAATGGAACCGTCACCAAACAGTTGTTCACTCCTGTATTCCAGTCAGCCCTTTGGAAGTGGAGGAAAGGTGCTCAGAAAGGAGTTTATGCCATCCTCCACTACACAGTGAGAGCACACCTGGTAGCCGGTTTTCTATCACTTGTACTGACCACTTGATAGTCCTTTCTGATTGCCAGCTGTGTTGCAGGAGTTAGGTTGCTCTCGGTAGGCCTCTGCTGATGACTGCTCGGCCTCTCTCCTGCCTCCTGTGCTTAGTGCTTTGCAGACATGTGTGACTTGGCTGCATGCTTTGTTCTGGAACGGATGGCAGCAGTTTAGTGACAAACATGCCACAGCAAGATGGTATAGACATTAGTTACTGGTCAGTGCGCCTCCTGCAGCACACTCAGTGACGTTATTGTTTTGTTTTTAAGCCTTTTTTTTTTTTAATTAAACAGATCATGTGGGTTTGTGACTTGGGATTTTCCCTCATATATCAAAGACACTTGAGTAATATCATTAAGGATCTAGTGTTCCATTCTCTGGACAGACTATGTTTATTTTCCTAAGAATCTAGAAGGTGCCTTTTTTCAGTCGTGTTGTATTACATCAGCTCATGGCTAATGGGCATTTGTGTCATTTGTACTTTTCTATTAGCACCTGCTGTACCTCCAGGGGCCCTCAGCTCAGTTCCCAGTGCTCATGTCAGGAACTGCAGCTCCAGGGGATCAGATGCCCTCTTCTGCTTCCACAGGCACAAATAAAAACAAAGTAAAAATAAGTCCTTTAAGCAAAAGAATAATGCAGCCATGGATAGTTGAAACAGATTTCATTTTGATTCCTCCCAGCATCACATAAGGGTTCCAGGTTCTCTGTATCTCTGTAGATATGCCAGTTCCAGTCTTTGTATTATAGCTTATAAGTCGACCTATCTCTTTGTAGGGTCATGGTTTATTTTATACTTCCAAGTGGATTTCCTCCAGGTTTTTTTTTGTTTTTGTTTTTTTAAGCAGGTAAGAAATGTTGTTAAATTTGTAACAGAATCTTTTTATTTTCCTTTTCTTAACAGGCTAAGGAGATTTTAACAAAGGAATCAAATGTACAAGAGGTCCGTTGTCCTGTTACCGTCTGTGGAGACGTGCATGGCCAGTTCCACGACCTTATGGAACTCTTCAGAATTGGTGGAAAATCCCCAGATACAAACTATCTATTCATGGGTGACTATGTAGACAGAGGGTATTACTCTGTGGAGACGGTGACTCTTCTTGTAGCATTAAAGGTATGACTGATGAACATAGGTGGGGGTGGACTTGAAAGGAGGCCAGAGCCAAATGAATATCAGTGCTGTATGTATCGTCTGCAGTCTCGTGGTGTGCTGAGCCTTAAAGAACAGTTGCCTTCACATCTTTTACAGAAAGATTAAGGTCCATGCCTTAAAATTTCTGTCCATTGCTGATAACTGTGTAACTCACGGTTGTCCATAACTGACCTCTGAATTATATTTGATTTACTTACTTGCCACTCTGCATATGGAATCATTAAACAAGTGTGTTAACTTCGTGGCTTGAGAAGCCCATTGTTCCTGTTTTTACTGCCCTGGACTCCACACGTCACACTTGAAGGTCTCATCCCTGCTTAGGCTGCCTGATGAATCTCAGCTCCTGTCTGTCCTGTCTTGCTACTTCCCTGTTCCCAGAGTCCTCTTTGATTCCATAGTCGTGAGAGTCAAACTCTGTTAAACAAAGGCTGCGGCTCTCCTATAGTCTGTCTGACTTTACCTGCCTGTAATTCACAGCAAAAGGCTCTCCCCTCAAAGAATATTTTTATTCTTGCTCCAGTTTGTTTATTTCTTTCTCTGTTTCCCACAAGATTACTCTGGCTGTTTCCTTCTTACTACTAATGCTCAGACTCAACAAATGCTTAGGACTTTTAGATTTCAGAAAACTGCATATTCATAGTGCGATGTCTATAGTAGGGGACCCACGTTTAAGCATAAAATCCATTTGTTTTATATGTATCGTACATACCCATTCTTAAATTTAAAAATGGACAAAAGAACTAATTAAAGAGATGGATTTGAGGTTAAAACTAACATAGAACTGGAGAGACATGATTGTACCCTGGTTTCTTTTCCTTGTCTTCCAGGTGCGCTATCCAGAACGAATCACAATATTGCGAGGAAATCATGAAAGTCGGCAGATCACACAAGTTTATGGCTTTTATGATGAATGCCTACGAAAGTATGGAAATGCCAACGTGTGGAAATACTTTACAGATCTCTTTGATTATCTTCCACTTACAGCTTTAGTAGATGGACAGGTGCGTATGTGTCTGACAGTGTCTTGCAGAAGGAAGTTAAATGTGGGAAAACATTTACTATTAGGAATTCGGGGTCTGTATTTACAAGTTATGTAAAAATCTCTTTGGCTTATTATGTTTGTTTAATGCAGTGCTGGGGAGTTGAACCTAGGGTCTTGGGATCAGGTGCTAAGTAAGTGTGCTACCCCTGGGCTACAGCCCCATAATTCGGTTGATGGTAGCAGTGGTTGTTTTTTGGTTTTTGTGTATTCCTGTTTTGGAGAGAGTCTCACTGAACTGCACAGGCTCAGACTTAACTGTACCCCAGCACAGCTCGATGCTCTAACTCTCCTGCCTGTGTTTCCAGGGAGCTGGGCTTCTAGGCTTCAGTCACCAAGCCACTTTCCCTGGCTTTAAAGTCTTCTGGCCAAAGAGGATATGTGCCCTAATGTGTGCTTTTTAAATCTAGAAAACAGTGTAAATAAATGTTTAAGTTTTTGGGTGTATGTATTATTAGTAACACAAGATGTTATTGGAAATTGTGCCCGTATTACTATGTTTCCTGGTTATCATTAGTAACTTTTTATTCCTATTTTCATGGTAACAAGTATGATATTATATATTACATCTTTTTTTAATCAAAGGGTTCTGTTTCCAGCATAGTAAGTTTCGAGGCATACGTAAGACATTAATACAGGTTTCCCATATCAGTATTTAGAAGCTTCACAGTGAGCTGATTCAAACTCATATGTAAAACAGAATAAGCCGGGCGGTGGTGGCGTATGCTTTTAATCCCAGCACTTAGGAGGTAGAGGCAGGCGGATTTCTGAGTTCGAGGACAGCCAGGACTACACAGAGAAACCCTGTCTCGAAAAAAACAGAACAAAAAAAGAATCATATAGTGTTAATTTTTTTTTTTTAAGAAAATCCGTTAACTATCTGCTTTATTTGGGAAACATTAGAAACCTCATCAAAGTCAGGAAAAAAGGCTGATGTGGTCAGATAGATCATTCAGGAGCTTTGGGCAGAATTGTTGAATCCTAAGCTAGCCTGGGCTATCTATACACATAGCTCATACATTGACCCTGTCAATGAACAAATAAGAAACTGTTCGCTAAAATATTCATTATTCTCTTTGATTCATAGTCTAGTCCTTGAATAATCAGAGGATAGTCCTGAGGAAAAAAAATTTTAAATGCTTCTATTATTCCACTTTATGTCAGAATCCCTGTAAGTACACTCTATAGTGTATAGTGTATAGAGAACTGAAGACAACTGGGGAGGTAGCCAGGGAATGACCAACATTTTCTTCCTAGTTTGTAAACACATAAAGTACTTGTTTTGCAAGCATGAAGACGTTTAGATACCTACCAGCCATGAAGGAATGGGATTCCCAGAGTGAGCTATCGGTCTAGCCATAGCAGCAAGCTTTGGTTTCAAATAAGAGACTCTGCCTCAGTGAGTCAGGCGGAGTAATCAAAGACATCCAATGCCAACCTTAGGCCTGCACATATATGTGCACCCACTAACATGTAGACCTGCATATACGTCCAGACGACATACAGTTAGCAGGCGTGCAGGAGACGTGACTCAGTGAGGAGAGAAAGAACCCCAAAGTCGCCCCGACCTCTGCTAGATGTGCCTTACACATCATACAGTCATGGGAAATAAGGACTTAAAGGTGATAGACTGTATAAAGTGTATGTAGATGTGGTCACGTGCTCAGTAAACCTGAGGAAAACCAAAAAAACTTACTGTAATCAATAACAGAATCAGCAGGACATTAATGTTATGAAAGAAACAAAGTTCTGCATCAGGAGTGTCCCAGCACACACAGGGACAGGTGATGTGTGTGTCATGTGTGCAGCAGCACTGCGACACCAGACTGCAGCTCCGCAAGGGAGCATGCAAAGGGCCTCAGATCCTCAGTGCCACAAAACAGGGTGAGAAGACCGCTCAGCACTGGATCTGCTGTGGAGGTTATTGCTGGTGATTGGATTCTGCTTTGCATTGTACTTCACAAATCTTTCAGTTAATGATACCATCTGGGAAAAGAAAAAGCTGTCAAGGCTAACACTTGCAACCATTACTTATTATTCATTAATTTAGCAATTATAAAAACAAAAACATTTTCTTCTCAATTTAAAAACAGATATTCTGCCTCCACGGTGGCCTCTCTCCATCCATAGATACACTGGATCACATAAGAGCCCTGGATCGCTTACAAGAAGTTCCACATGAGGTGAATGGCAGTTACTTCATTTGCTCTGAGTTTAAGGGAAAAAAGTATAATCACATGTGGGAAGGGTGACTCAAACATCCTAACTCAGAGTGCACATGTGTTCTTTCTCCTTGTCCAGGGCCCAATGTGTGATCTCTTATGGTCAGATCCAGATGACCGTGGTGGCTGGGGCATTTCTCCACGTGGTGCTGGCTACACATTTGGACAAGATATTTCTGAAACATTTAACCATGCCAACGGTCTCACACTGGTGTCTCGTGCTCACCAGCTTGTAATGGAAGTATGTACTTTTCCTGCAGAATGACCTGATCTCATGGGATATGCGTCTGTAATAATGCTTCACGACTTAGAATGTAGGAACCAGATCCCATTACCACATCCAGATCTCTACGAATATTCTGTCAAAGCCATTGTCTGTCTGTCGTAACCAGTGTTTCAGTCAGAACATTCCCATCGGTATACTATTCAAACCCTTGGGTCATGTGATTGTAGCAGTGTTTTAAGTTTTGCAGAGTGTATAGCTTAATCCAAGTTACCCATAGAAGTAATTTTTCAGATTTTATATGATCTTGACACTTAGAAATGATGAAAGTTTTATATAAGAAATATCTTTCTAATCTGGGCATGGCGTGTGCTTGTAATCCCAGTGTTTGGGAGACCAAAGCAGGGGTCATGAGACTCATGCTGTCTAGAATCTATAAGGAAATACTCTTAAATAAAACCCCTTCAGTAGGGGTTGGAGAGGCGGCTCAGCAGTTAAGAGCACTTGCTCTTCCAGAGCATGCTCAACAGAGACTTGAGCTCAGTAAGAGAGGATTATATAGCATGCTGCTTTTGGGTACACACTGAGGAGTGTGCTGTGCTGTGGCCTGGCTACACTTGACCAAGGAGATGTGACAGCTGTTTGTCCACTGCTGTTATATTCAGTGGCCACTCAGTTGAGGTGGCAATTGCTGGATTTCTCCTGTTGTGTTAGCGTTGTCACTATTAAAGGAATAAATAAGAACAGAGTCCCTCTAACCAGCAAGTAGTGGCTTTAGAAGGCAGAATAAACTTCCCCAGCCTAGAACAGGCAAGGAGTTGGGTAGGAGCACGAGAAGAAGCACATACATGCAGTGACATTAAACTTCACTATTCCGGCAAGCACAAATGTCAGTGATGACTGGATATTTTTAGAGAAAAAGTTCTGAGACTCCAAAATTGGAAAATAATAAAATTTCAGCTATTTGAGACAAAACTGAAGTATTTAACATAGTAAACTACCTAACTGGTGATGTGAGTCAGGCTCTGACACAGGTGACCATTAGAGTGTCGAGATTACTGGTGAGCATTGGCTCAGCGCGCTGGGAGAGCTGATTCTGAGTTGATATTTGCCTAATAATAGCTTCAAGATTTCATAGCAAACTCTAAAAGCCAGGCTCGTTTCTATCATGTCTCAGCATTGGGAGGCTGGGGCAGTTGCAGGTCTGAGAACAGGGTAGCCTAAATAGCAAAATTCTCAACAAAACAAAAACAATAAGATACTTAACAAAGTTTATGAAGGGAAATGGGGAGTTTACTGAGAAACTCAGTGTATACCCTAAGTTAAGATCTTAAGTGTAGCCGGGCGGTGGTGGCGCACGCCTTTAATCCCAGCACTTGGGAGGCAGAGGCAGGTGGATTTCTGAGTTCGAGGCCAGCCTGGTCTACAGAGTGAGTTCCAGGACAGCCAGGGCTACACAGAGAAACCCTGTCTCCAAAAAACAAAAAACAAAAAAAAAACAAAAAAAAAAACAAAAAAAAAAGATCTTAAGTGTAGCTTAAGAAAAGCTGTCTGGTTCCTGAGGTATATAATAGAATCTCGTACCTAATAACTTTAATATCCTGAGCAGCTGCATGAACTGTTAGGTTATAGAAGAAAACATAGCCACTGAAGGATTTGAGTTGAGATCGGTGTCGACTGGCTTCTCTAATGAAGTGACCTTTTTCACTGCCGCAGGGATACAACTGGTGCCATGATCGGAATGTGGTCACCATCTTTAGTGCTCCCAATTACTGCTACCGCTGCGGGAACCAGGCTGCTATCATGGAACTAGACGACACTTTAAAGTACTCTTTGTAAGTAACTTCACATTTTAATTGTATGTAATGACTTAGAGGGAAAAGGAAGTGCTGAAAATAGACTTAGGGGCTGGAGAGGCGGCTCAACGCTCAGAGCACTTGCTACAGTCTGTGTGACTTCCGTAGACACCTGCACACCTGAATGTTCGTACACTCAGTCAGCCCCTGCACACGTGCATGCATGAGTAACAGTACTCTGTAAAGAGACGTGAAAGAGCTCTGCTTACGACACGGTAGGAGTGTGCAGACCTCTTCCCTGACACTGAGTGTGAGAGCTTCTGATATGCTGGGCACGGAAACCACGGGCTCTTCATTCCAGGGCATTGCTGTACCACCACTCCACATCCAGCCCAGAAAAGTAGTTTTTTTGTTTTTGTTTTGTTTCAAGATAGGGTTTCTCTTTGTAGCCCTGGCTGTCCTAGAACTCACTCTGTAGACCAGGCTGGCCCTGAATTCACAGAGATCCACCTGCCTCTGCCTATACTTTATTGAAATTTTCCCAAGAGCTTACAGCTAATATAAAAACATTTAATAGAACCTTAAGCCGGGTGTGGTGGTACAACTCCTTAATCCTAGCACTCCAGAGGCAGAGGTGAGTTTGAGAGCAGTCTGGTGTAAGCTGTACATGAATTCCAGGACAGCCAGGACTACATACAGCTAAACTGTCTCGGGAAAACAAACAAGAACTCAGACAAAAAGAGGAACTCGTCCATTACAATGAGCAGGGGCTCGACAGTGTCTTAGTGGTTAGAGCACAGGCAGAACTTCCACAGGATGTCAGTGTAGTTCCCAGCACGTACACTGCAGCACACGGCCATCTAATCTATAATCTCAGTTCCAAGGGTCTGACACTTTTGACCACTGGCACTCATGCAGATGTCCACATATACATAACTAAAAGTGACAGAGGATATGGCCTTATTGGTACTGTTTACCCTAGCATACACGAAGCCCTGGGTTCAAGCCCAGCACTGTGTAAACTGGCCATGGTGATATATGCCTATAATCCCAGTACTTGGGAGACGGAAGCAGGTCAATTTGAGTTCATGTTTTGAGTACATGAAACCTGGTTTCAAAAACATTTGTAAAATAAAACATTGGCTATACATGGTGTCGCTTGCATGTCTATAATCCCAGTACTTACAAGGTAGAGCCAGGGAGATGAGGGTTTCAGAGAGCGCCTTTACTCTGTCTCAGCAACACCAACACATTGGAAACCCGTCCTGACTGCTGTGATGCTTGAGTGTGCCTATGGTTACATCCTCTCAGGGCTGCTTGGAGAAGGAAAACACGAGTGTGATTCATCCCAACACCGCAGTGTTGATTCAGAATAGGAAAAGTCAATGCAATAATGTTAATATTAAAAAAAAAGTGTAGCCGGGCAGTGGTGGTGCACGCCTTTAATCCCAGCACTTGGGAGGCAGAGGCAGGCGGATTTCTGAGTTCGAGAGTTCGAGGCTAGCCTGGTCTACAGAGTGAGTTCCAGGACAGCCCGGGCTACACAGAGAAACCCTGTCTCGAAAAAGCCAAAAAAAAAAAAAAAAAAAAGTGTAGTGAAGTGGTAATAGCTTGATTGCTAGTGATGAGTTCGGGGTCACCCCAGCCATGTGGGTGCAGTGTAACAGAAAGCTACAGGAAGGAGACTCTGTCTATTCCGCAGTTTACTGGCTGGGTTACTTAATCCTTTTCTTTGTCATTTTTAGTCTTCAGTTTGACCCAGCACCTCGTCGTGGAGAGCCTCACGTGACCCGGCGCACCCCAGACTACTTCCTATAACTTCCCCCCCAGGACCTGTCTTTGTATGTGGAAGTATACCTGGCTTTTTCAAATATATATATACATATATATTTAAAACAACAGTTATCTGTGTGTCTCTGTAACAAATTGTGATATGTCTTGACATTAAACACATACATCATGGACCAAAATGTGCCATACTAATGATGAGAGGTTAGCAGTTTGAACTTAGTCCACTGTTGTAGATGAGTCTGCCCAGCAGCCTGCCTGCTGTGCTGCAGGAACCATTTTCCTTGACTGGTTAAACAAAAAGGGTCACTGACTGCTTCATCTCCTTTGCGCTTACTTGGAAGTTTAGTTACAAGTTTAACTGGCATGGATTATAGAGTTGGAGTTTTATTTTTAAGAATTTACAAGCTGACTTCCACTTAAATTCATAACTCTTTATTTTATTGAAATGTATGACTAACTGAAGAAGAGATTCTTGGGAGTATGTTGTCATAACATTAAAGAGATTTCCTTTTAAAGTTTCCTAAACTAAATTACTGTTGGATGTTGATCTGCATATTTCTGTATATTTGTCATGACAGTGCTTGCATCCTATTTGGTGTACTGAACAAATAAAATTTCCAATTTAGAGAAAAACATTTTAACTGTGATGTGCATTAAATGGAAGCATCGCCATTTTGAAACTTGATACAAAGACTTAAAACTGTGACGTAGGCTTTTTGCACCTTGAACGTCCTTGATTCTCCTGCTCTCCTGAGGGATAGGATTACAGGTATGGGGCGCCTTGCCAGGCCCCCCGCTATCTGCTGTGTAGTAACAATAAACAGCTGTACCGACATAGCTTGCATGGTGTATTCAGAGCTGGGGGTTAACTCTGGTGGGGTGTTCATCCCAGGCCCTATATTCAATTGCAAGTTATGTGCACAAATACTACAGAAATAATGTTTGTTTATAGTTTATGCTCAAAAGCAGAACAAAGTCAAATACTTACGATAACTTTCAGACCATTGAAAAGGCATCTTTCTTTTTTTTTTTAATTTATTTATTTTATTTATGAGTACACTGTAGCTGTCTTCAGACACACCAGAAGAGGGCATCAAATCTCATTACAGATGGTTGTGAGCCACCATGTGGTTGCTGGGATTTGAACTCAGGACCTCTGGAAGAGCAGTCAGTGCTCTTAACCACTGAGCCATCTCTCCAGCCCAAAAAGGCATCTTTCACTAATTGAAGCATTTCATTAGGTGGTTTGTATTAATATATTCATGTGCAAAATATGGATGGCCTGCTTTAATAGCTATAGACTAAATATAACAAAAGAAACCTTAAAAGCTGAGCTGGGTTGTCTCCTTTAACCTAGAAACAGAAATTGACCTGTTTATTTAGTAGCAGTGGTAATTATACTATTCCAGGGTCATAAAATACCAGCTCTAGGGTTTACTTAATATCTAGCTGTAGAATGATTTTAAGACATACACCAAAAGTAGACCCTTGGGTAGTTTGGAAATTGAAAGATTAACTCAGTTGCTATAGAATATTTGCCGGGCAGAATGAAGCACAAGGGACCATCCTACCGCTTCATAAGCTCAGGCTGGTGACCCTAGGACTTGGGACGGGGACAGGAGGACCAGGAGAGCTCAGGGCTTCCTGGGCTACATGAAACCCTGTCTAAAAAATTAAAGATAAGAAAGATACCTTAAGACAGACTAAGGCAGAGGTTCTCAACCTCTGTAACACTGCAGCCCTTTAATACAGTTCCTCATGGTGGTGACCCCAACCAGAACATTATTTTGCTACTGTTATGAATCATAATGTAACTCTCTCGTGCAGGTGATCTTAGGTGCACCCCTGTGAAAGGGCCCACAGGACCCCACAGGTTGAGACCTGCTTGAAGGTCATCAGTTCACACAAAAAACGACAGCTCACGCTCCAAATCCACTGAACAACAACGGCCTTGTTTACTGTAGTATCAATATGTCCCCCAAAGTTCATGGATCAAAACCTTCATCCCCAGATCTAAGTGAAAATTATACAGGATCAGTTGGCTCCGGACGTTCTTTAAATCTGTAGAAATACAATAGAATCGACATCCCTCCTTAGATTTTGACTGAGATGTGAAATACTATATGGTAAGGTAGACGCAAGCAGAGATCAGTTCTTACAGAGGCTAGGGTTTGGCTTGAAGATGGTCTGGTTAACTCAGAAGTTCTGGGAGTTGAGGCATGTCCCCCCATGCCTGGCTGAGGCCTAACATCCAATGTCTGTCTTACTATACATGCTTTCTACCTCGCTTTCACATAGATGACAGAGGCCACAGACCATCATATGCAAAGCAGTCCTCGTCCACGGTGTGTGGGTGTGGGTGCTCCTGTGGACAGGAGTTGCTCAAGGCACAGCGTGGCTGGAATGTGAACACCATCCTGTTGAAGGACAACTGGTACTCCTGACCTCTCTACTGCCTTCTCTGCTCTTTCTCTTCCACGTTAAGTACAGTATCCACAGTTATTCCTATGTCCTCCAGCGACAAGCCTCCCTCCACTTCCAGGGGCCTTCTGGGAAAGGACGTGGAAAGGCTGTATAGGGATTTGTGGTACCCAATCTTCATCATCCAGTCAAATAAGACCTAAGAGGCAAAAAAAAAAAAAAAAAAACCTATCAGACTGTATACACGTTCCTCCAGAATCTTTATCACCCCCGTGGCACTGTATAGCTCTGTCATTCTGAAATCCAGTCCCTAGGAATAAAAAGTAATTTCTGTATCTTTCAAAGAAATTTTTTAGACTTTAAGGGAGAACAGTATGTCATGAATTTGGAGATGTGAGAATTTTAAATGTCTTTTTTCCAGAGAAAGTAAAGGCCTACTGTCATAGTAGTTAGTAACCAAACCTAATCCATCAATGAGATGTAAAATACTTAATAAAAATTGGTGATACATGCCTTTAATCCCAGCACTTGGGAGGCAGAGGCAGGTGGATCTCTGAGTTTGAGGCCAGTCTAGTCTACAGAGAGTTCCAGGACAGCCAGGGCTGTTACACAGAGAAACCATGTCTTGGAAAAAAAACAAGAACAAAAAAGCTGAAAACAAAAAATATTTGGGAAAAAAAAATTGGATCAAAATCACCAAGAAGCTTTGTCAAAATAGACATGTTTTGGCACCTGAGACAAAGTCCAATTCATGATGGGCCATTCCTGTAATTGTCCATAAAGATTACCATATACACACTGGGTTCAAAGTCTAGCACCAACAAAAAGAAAAAATGACATAGTCATGATAAAATTTTTCATATCACATCCAACTGAAAACACATTTACCTCAAAATATGCCATTTTAAACAAAGCATATTTTGCTTCAAAAACAACAGCTAAGCTGGGTGTGGTTGGTTCCATGATAGCTGTAGTCCCAAAGCTACGACTGGAGGATTACTGGAACCAAGTTACTGGGTTTGGGACCAACAGCAAGACTTGTGTCTTAACAACAAAAGCCAGATACATGACAGAGACGTAATTGTTTCCAGGGAATCTAAATATCAAATTGTCCAACTCGAGCCTTAAGTTGCCAGCCACCAGCCAGGAATCCACTGCTGGTCTATAGAATAAATCTGTACGGCATTTAGAAGTGTTGGGAATGCCAGGCAGTGGTGGTGCACGCCTTTAATCCCAGCACTTGGGAGGGAAAGACAGGTGGATTTCTGAGTTCGAGGCCAGCCTGGTCTATAGAGTGAGTTCCAGGACAGCCAGGGCTACACAGAGAAACCTTGTCTCGAAAAAAAAAAAAAAAGAAGTGTTAGGAATTGAACCCCGGTTTTGTACATGCACTGAGCACCCACTCGGCCACTTAGTTCATAGTTTACAGTTGCTTTGAGACAGTCTCCCTAGCTGGCTCTGAACTCACAATCTTGCCGGATGTCAGATCCACAACCCCTGCAGTGGAAGCATTACATTTATATTACACTGCAGCCCCAGTTAAAACTATTTTTAAAATAATAAGCTGCCAGGTGTGGCAGCGCGTGCCTGGATCCAGTCATTTGGGAGGCTACCACAGACACCGAGTTTCAGGCCAGCCTTGACTACAGGGTAAGTGCTAGCTAGCCTCAGCAAAACCTAGTAATATCTTACCCACCAACGTAAATAGAGTAACAACCAAAGAGATACAGCTCAGAGAATGCCTGTCTGACAACGTAGATTCTTTCTTAATACGAAAAAGGAAGAAAGAAAATTAAAGGGGAAAACAAAATGTTTAAAGAAATTCTCAAACAATGGAGAACCCTCAAATTGTGTGGTCTTGTCTCTTACTGCATTCGAACACACTGTTGACAAATTTCATTAAGACAGTATTTCTGAAAATACTGATTTCCTCACCTGTGAATTCCACGACTTGATAAATCTTCTCCTCAAAACACGTCCACTTGGGCATCGAAGGGCAACAGTAACTACCTGTGGATTACAAATGTAAGCTACAATGGTCACCCGGACCTTCAATCCACACAGGACTGAGGAAGGAAGATTGCAAATTTGAGGCCAGCCTAAGTTACAAAGCAAGATCTCATCTCAAGAACAAGACAGAAGTCCAGAACTCAAGTGTAGCCTGGGGATGAGGCTTACCTGAGCCTGGGGATGAGGCTTACCTGACACAAGAATGCCTCACAGCACAAAGCCCTGGCCTCACTACCCACCACCCCATGCACCAGTCTGTGGAGAAAATACCTTGTGTATTGTATAGATGCACCACCTGTCAATTTAAAAGCCTTATAGCTTGGGCAGGAAATGGAAGGTGGGGCATCTGGGTAACAAAGGATTCTGGGATAGAGCCAGGCAGGAGATATGCCTGGGAAGATGTGAAAAGGACGCATGGTATCTGAATGTGGGTAACCAGCCACGTGACAGAATGTAGGTTAAAGTAATTGGGTTATTTTAGCTACGATCTAGTCAGAGGAGAGCCTAGTTATATGGCCAAGGTATTTATAAATGTAGTTTGAGTCTCATTTCTGAGAGTGTGGGGCTGGGAGGAAGAACCAGACCTAACTTCACACCACACATGGTGATACAAGCAGTTCCTAGCTGCAAAGGTGGAGCCAGGAGCATCAGACGCTCAAGACAATCTGCAACCTCACAGTGAGTCCAGGGCATCCTTGACCAGTGAGTCTGAGGGCAGCCTTTGAGGTCTTAAATGCTCAACTACGCTCAGTGACACAGTCTCCTGCTTTTTGCGGATCAAAATGTAGAACTCTGAGCTCCTTCTCCAGCAGCATGTCTGCCTGCATGCTGCCATGCTTCCCACCATGATGATAATGGACTGAATCTCTGAACTGTAAGCCAGCTCTAATTAAATGTTTTCCTTTATAAGAGTTGCCAACGTCATGGTGTCTCCACATCAATACAACTTTTTTTTTTTTTAATTTTTAAGGTTTATTTATTTTTGTAAGTACACTGTAGTTGTCTTCAGACACACCAGAAGAGGGCATCAGATCCCATTAGAGATGGTTGTGAACCACCATGTGGTTTCTGGGAATTGAACTCAGGACCTCTGGAAGAGCAGTCAGTGCTCTTAACTGCTGAGCCATCTCTCCAGACCCCAGTAAAACTTACAATAATGGACATGCATGTGGTGCACAGAGAGACATACACGCAGGCAAAAAAAAAAAGGGGGGGGGGGG